CTATTGCTTAAAGATATAGCCTACTGTCCCCAACTCCTTATAACTCTAGTCTCCTTATGTCAGCTATAGAAGAAAGGACTCTATTGGAATAACAGATATAATCCAACGACCCTCCGTCATTCCGATTAGACAATCGCCTGCCCGATTAAGGACCTATATAGTTAATATATCATTAAATACCAACCGGCAGAGATAACCCTAGCGGTTTAGGCAGCCCACAAGTTCACCTCTCACACTAAGAGGGCTCCTTTAGCGGGAGAAGCCATCTGCTAGCACAACCGCCTAGGGCATCCGGGACCGCAAGCTCTTGAACACCTCGTCTCAGCATCTTAGGGGGTGTGAATTCGAGGATTAACAACAGTTGAATGTGACGCCTGTGGCCTATTAAAGATTAAGAAACAAGTCAGACGGGCTCTAAGGCAGTCTAGCCAGAGAGCCGGCGAATGCATCGCTGTCGATTTCCATGACTATGAAGAAGGGATAGGTGGCTATACCTCGCAGATGTTACTTACCTGCCGATTAACGGAATATATTTGGGATTATTACCTTACATCTTGGATAATAGAGGCTATTATCATAGTCTTTAAATCCTTCTTTAAATACCTAGAAGTTCAATATACTATTAAAGTCAAAGTTATTAAATGCAATAATGAGATCACAGAGGTTAAACCATAAGTCGGAAACTTCATATGGAATAGAGCCATCATTATCAAGCCCTCAGCACCATACAGCCAAGTACAAAACGGCAGTGCTGAACGCTCAGGGGGTGTAATAAAGGATAAGGAAAGAGCTATGTAAATAGGCGCTAGGTTCCTTCATCAGCTATAGCTAGAAATCGGTAAAACGGCAGTTTATCTATACAATTGAACGCCAAACTATAAATCAGGCTGGAAAACACCATATGATTAATTGCATACTGCGATAGCTAGAGCTAGAGGAATTCCACAACTAGCGAAACAGCCTGACTAAATACATCTAAGAGCATTTAGCTGCAAGGCCTATGCTATAACCCCTGAGGTACAACAAAAGTTTAATCGCAAGATACAGCTTAAGCCGAAAGGATAGATCAGCTTCCTAGTCAGATATAGATCCTTAAACATCTACAGGATCTAGGTCCCTACTATCAATCGAATAGTGAGCACCTGAGATATCATTTTTAATGAAGATAAGGGCTATAATGGAGACTGGGAAAACTTTAAGGACGACCTCTTAGAGGCAGACCTAGAAGAAATCGCATAAATTGCATCCCTTCAATAAGATAAACTAATTGATTAATCAGAGACTGAAGACTGCATTGAGGTAGATTTTCCTAAAGAGGAAGACTTAAATGAACTTACAGAAGATTGTCTTATAGTAGCAATTGATGAAATCTCGTAGGCAAAAAGGGCAGAATATAAAGACTTCCTCACGCCTCCAGATATACCGCCATCTGCCCTACTTACATAATTACCTCAAAATGTATTAGAATAAGGGAATAAAACGATTATATAGCAGGCAGCTTTTCTAGCTAGAACTAAATCTCCTCTACAAATCTCAATAAAACGGAAGATCCATCAAGAGGTAAAGGTATATAGAAATGCACTACCTCAGGCACTAATAAAGCATCAAGATCTCATAGGACATCCATTAGGAAACCTCTTTTAAAAGGCTGAAGAAATTCATCTTTAAAGTCATAAGGAAATGAAGTCATAAACTGAGATCCGAGCTAAGGACCCTCGAGCATCTAATTAACAGGTCCTAGGCTATATGTAGGTGTATGTCTATAAAACAGATAAATACAGTTACTTTCAGAAATGCAAGGCCCGACTAGTGGTTCAAGGAGACCAACAAGCAAAAGGGCAGCTTCAAGACATATACGCAGCAACCCTAGCCGGAAGGTCCTTCCGGACCTTAATAGCTATTGCAGCAAAATTTAATCTAGAAATGATCCAATACGATGTAGTTAACGCATTCATATATGCCCCAATTGATCAAGACATCTTCATACAGATGCCTCCAGGCTATAAGAAGGCAGGAACTATCCTAAAGCTTAACAAAGCTCTATACGGACTGAGAGTCTCCCCCTTACTGTGGCAGAAGGAGCTTTCTAGGACCCTCTTAGAGCTAGGCTATAAGCCAGTTCTACACGAGCCTTGCTGCTTCAGAAAAGAAGGAATCCTCTTCTTCATATATATTAATGATATCATTCTGGCCTACAGGAAAACATAAGAAAACAAAGCTAAGGACCTGATTAGATAACTCCAATTGAGATATAAACTAACAGGCGGCAACCCTATATAATGGTTCCTTAGAATGGAAGTCATATAGGACCGACCTATGAGGAAGATCTAGCTATCCCAAGCAGCCTATATTAAGAAAATTGCAAACCTAGCTAATAAAGAAACAGCTATAGTACCAATGACTCAGTTAGAGCTGCGGCCTGCAACAGGGCTAGCAACCCTAATAGAAATTCAACGATACTAACGTAAGATCGGATCAATCCTCTATATTGCAGTTAACACCCGACCTGATATAGCCTTTGCTATCTCCAGATTAGCTAGATTCCTCACCAATCCAAGTTAAATACACCAAGAAGCGGCTGACCGCGTCATCCACTACCTCACACATATAAAGAACCTAGCCCTATCCTTCGGAGGGCCCGGCGGTCTCAGCATTGCTAGCGATGCCTCTTTTGCCGATAACACAACTGATCGGAAGAGCTTGCAGGCATATACCATTAAGCTATTTAACGGACTAATCGGATGGAGAGCCAGTAAATAAGACACAGTCATAACATCAACAACAGAAGCAGAGCTCCTAGCCCTAGCATAGGCAGCTAAGGAATCTCTCTTTGTGAGCCGACTGCTTAAGGAGCTGATAGTTTAACTGGATGACTTGACTATCTAGATTGACTGCGATAACACTCAGACTATTAACCTCGTAACGGCTGAAATAGCTACTTTGAGGACTAAGTTGCGGCATGTTGATATCCACAATCACTAGCTCAGATAGGAGGTTTAAAGAGGGAAAATTCAAGTCAAATACGTCAAATTAACAGATATAGTCGCAGATGGCCTGATGAAAGCACTTCCAGCCGGAAAATGGAACCGCTTTTTATATTAACTTGGATTAGAAGATGTTAGGAAGAGGCTCTAGAAGGATGAAGAAGGGCTTCAGACTCAATGAGAAGTCATTGAATCTGAGGGGGTGTGTCAGATATGTCAGAGGCGAAAGTGGCCAACTATTGCCACCTATTGCCACGAGGCTTAGCAATCAGCTTCTAGCTGATTCTATACAGAAGAGAAAGGGTATATAAAGCTTGCCCTGAAACCTCAAGACAGGGCAAGGAAATAGACAATTTTTTTCACCCCAATATTTGACAATTACTTAACTATTTACCCTCCTCTAAAACCTAGATTTAGTAATATTTTAAAATTTATAAATTAATAATTTAAAAAGTTATATACATTTATATTAATAATATAGTAGTGCTTTATAATATAAAAAGAAACAACTTTCTTATATTAAAATAGTTCTTAAGCTTATTTTAAAGACCTAGATGCTAAACGGGCGATATCTAGACCACTTTGCCCGCTTGTGGAAACTACTAATGCAACGACCACGGCGGACGAGAATAACCACACCCCAATTAGGTGGCTAGCCCCCCGCAGATGTCAGGGCCAGTCGCTGTGGAAGGTATTCAGCCTACTCCAACTAAGTAGGTAGCAGCTGCTAGCAGCACAACCGCTTTTGAGGTAGACAGTCCAAGGACTTCAAGATAGCTAGAAAAGTGTCTAATTAGACACTTTGGAGGGAAAAGGGGATTTTTGCAGCGAAGGCAAGGCAATAATGCATTTAAAAGAGGATATCATTAAAAAGAATAAATAATACAAATCGAATGTAAAGGTTATCACCACTATCCCACTGGAAGGTCTCGTTCCATCACAGTGTTGGTGATGGTGATCTCTCTCCTCTGTCGCCTTCCGCGACTAACTTCCATTTTAAGAGTCCCGATGTATAGCCCCCTGCTCTAGGGCTAAACTCCACTTCTGACCCCCATGCCAATCCATCGTCCAATTGGCCTCGCTTCACTAAGCGCGTATCGGCGTCGTTCTCAGCTTCTAGATAGAAGACGTCGAGCACCATAGGCACAGTTTCAAACCTCTTCAAGGGCTCGAGTTGAAGGAAGAAGACCATCTTATGTTAGCAAGTTTGCTAAACCATTTAAGATGAAGAGGACACGGAAAAGGAACCCTTAGCTGAACCTTAGTGCGCGCAGTCGGAAGATGATGACGTGCAAGACATTTTAGCGAGGCAATTTTGACAGCAAAACTCCACAGAAACCCGACGAAATGCTCAGTGAGAGTAGCGTGGAACTTATGGCCTACGTACGCGAACCGGATCGCTGCTGTATCGACATACATCGGAACCTCGTCACGTTCACGATTCCTGCAGGGCCCGGTGTTATATCCTGGAGACACCCCAAATTCGCCATACGGGCGCACTTGACCTCACGAGGGGTGCCACATCCTCGCCGTGTCCTCGGAAATCTTGATGAGTACGTCTCTACAGATCCATGTCTGCGTCTGGCAATCGCCTATCGGCTTCTCAATGATGGAAACGGGTGTCGGGAAGTGAATCACATACTTAGATTTTGCAAGGAATAAGGATAAAGACGACGGAGGTGCCTACGGCGCCGTGGGAAGAATATGCGGAGCTAATAATACTCTGGTGGACTTCTTCGGAGGCAAGACTGCGAATAATCTCATTTGTATTGAGTGAAGATATCTGAGGAAATGGAGGATCACACAGGAGGATGAAGAGGATGAGAAAGCAAGTAGCTAGTTTAGTAACGTAATAGTCAGTCATCTCAAGCCCGGGAGAAATTAAGTTGTGTATATTCTAGATGCCATAATTTCACAGCAGTCTGATCTTGAAAGTATTCCAGTGCAAGACTACTTATTTCGAAGTAATTGGCTCGGCTTTCATCAAACAGAGCCTCAAGATCAGGCGTCAAAGAGTCCCGCGTAGCTCAATTGGCAGAGCGCACGGCTTTTAACCGTGAGGTTAGGAGTTCGACCCTCCTCGTGGGAGTTTTTTTTTGAGTCTTTTGACTCAGCTCACGTGACTTCTCACGTGAGCCAAGCAAAACGGTCATGCCAAGTGGAAAATTGGTCCAAGCTATCAATGTTCGACTTGTCAGACAGAGTTGACTCTGTGCTCGCTCATCGTCAGTTTTCCTTAACCTGTTTATAGCAACCGCCTCATACTCATTAAATAAAGCCTTATTGTCCCGCGAGGAGTCATATCTGTCGTTTCTTTCCGATCCAGAACCTAAAAGGCCACGTTCCTTCTAACATTCTGTTTTAATAGCTTGGGGAAGGGTTCTTTCTGTATTAATGTGCTTATTTATACACTTGCGGATCACTCTCGACAGACATCCTTGTAGCTTGGCCTCTGTATGCGCGTATTGATAAAAAAATAGTTGAAAATGCAAGCAAGTCTGCCGCCACCAAGACATCCTTTGAAGCGCTTCATTCTATCTACGATCCACACCCGGCTCCAACGGAACATGGATGGATATCCGTATATCTAGTTTGCTGCAGAGACGTGGGGAGTTTGGGCGTCAATTGAGTATGATGAAGAGTAAAAAGATCTCCCGCGAGGAGGGTCGAACTCCTAGCCTTACGGTTAAAAGCCGTACGCTCTGCCAATTGAGCTACGCGGGACTCTTTGAAGCTAACTGTATTTGCTCGGCATCGTAAAGGGACACATATAGGCTACTCCGCTAATGGGACAGGGGTGGCCTTGATCGTCGGCCGTCTTCATCATCGCGCGTCGAAAGGTCTCAGCCTCACGCTGATCTTAGACTAGGCCCTCTCCCCGCTTGGTGCACAGTCTACACACGCTGCGTATGCTTGGATCGCGCCTTGAGCCTCGAGTTGAGGCATAAATGTCTAATGCTGTCGAAATCTGGCTGCTCGGCAAGTTTGGCCGCAATGATATCTAATCTCGAGACCTTATTCAGTGCCGTTCTTCCTTTCACCAGCAGCAACAAAAGTAGATTCGATGCATCTGGGGAAACCTCGAGATTCACATATTACTGCGTCAGCTAGTCAAAGTTGGAAAAATTTCCCCTGGAGCCTAGAGTTTGAGCATTACTTAGGTAATTCACTCAAAGTGCCAACATCAAAAATATCTCAGTGGGCGACCACACGGCCCATCCTGAATCAAGTTACTTGGATGAAGATTTTTGCGTACAAGAACCCTATCAAAGGTGCAAGCTTTACTGAGGAGATCATTGCACTTGGAAATGGGAAAGGGGGGGTTTCAATGCTTGCAGCACTGTCAACTGCTCTTCTGCGCCCGCCTCACAGGCCCGGGCAAAACTTGTACTGCAGGCTTGCCCTATCCAAGAACGAGATTGACATCGAGGCTGGAATGGCAAGGCTATACTTCTAGGCGAAACTGGGTGCTTGCTGCAGCCCTGCAATCATCCGGCCTCACAGTCTATTGTGGCGCTGGCCAGAGAGACATCGAATCGCAAGTTACTTGCCGGCGAGCAAATACCAAGGCCCGGTAGAATGGCGCCCCTGATATGTGGAGTGCTGAAGGCGGTGTTTACCCGCGTGGCGGTTGGGAGGGACTTCCTAAGATACACCTTCACGTTCGTCTGCGACTTAGACATAGCAACACGCCGTACGAGGTGGCGAGGATGGACGGAGTTGACGTTTTGAGGAAGTTGGGGACTATCATGAGGGAAAAGGCAGAGATGCACATCAGGGACGGGTTGTTGTGTCGCCAGGTGCAAGAGGTTAAGGCTACCGAAAAAAGAGCTGAGCACAGCAGCCAACAAGTGATTAGATGTTTGAAAGAGGTCGAGGAAACAGAGAGGTAAGTTGCTTTCTTATGGCGCAGCGTGCCGATGATGGAACTTGTCGTCGAACTCCAGACAACTGTTAGCTGACGCCCTAAACAGCAGAGATGCTGATGCCAGGTGTGGTGAGAGGCGAGTGAATCAATGTTCGTTGAAGAAGATTTCGCCTGAATCAACATCAGCACCGCCATCATATTGCATGTAGTGCTACTAAATCTGGCTTTGCAGGACGTAGCAGAGGCTGTCATAATACTACTGACAAAACTCATCAAAATCCCGAGAGTTGGAGGCCCTAGCTCACGTCACCACCAATCATCGTCAACGACAGTACGCACCCATTTCTGAATTTTCTCCAACCATGATAATGCGACCGACCGATGTGGTCTTCGTCGCCGATATCCTACTGTACCGCTCAGATACACGTAATCACAAAGCCAACACAACCTGCCCGACTTGACGTGAGGTACACAACGAACATTGACGCGACATGCACATGCAGTCACGCGGAGAAGTACTATATCACCCGAACGGGTCCTTGCTACGTTTGCGGGAATGATACCCTGGGCTGGACACAGCTGGCCATTGCAGAGAGATATTGGCACAACACCAGCTGTGCAACATACTCTCATGTGTGGTGCGGCGAGGCTAAGGTGACTGTTTCAAATAATACCTAATCTGCCACGTATAATTTTCCAGTTCCCCTATTTCCCGTATATGTAAATCATTTGACAAGTTTGCTAGTTTATACACTACGCCAATGGAACGAACACTCCTCGTTAACGAAGTAGCCGGCACCGCTAACTGGAACAGTTGGCCTTGGCGGTGACGGGGGGAAGGTTTGATTTAATCCCTGGGGTGCAGGCAGGATGGGATGAGATAATTTCGAACCGATTACTATGTTTTGTAAAAATTCGTTCGGGCTTGGAGTAGACCGACAGTCTCGTCAAAGCTTTAGGCTTGAGAGACGGGAAGACTCGCAGACAACTGCAGCTCGGAGAATAGAAAGACTTGAAAACTACTTGAACTGGAGGAAAGAAAGGACATAACAGACCTAAACTTATTGCGAAGCCCACTTGGGCACCTGAAAAGACAGGCCAGCGCTCCCACTGCTGTGGACTCCCAGCTAGTGAAGTCGTCGGATGTTGGTCGACTCAGCAAAGACACTCCGCAATAGCCGGGGAACTTGAAAATGAGGTTTTTTTTTGGCTCTAATCCATTCATGTGTTGCTCTAATTTGTTCGTGGACTAAAGCTAGTAATTGGCTGTCATCTTCCGATCCGTACACATGCAACTTTCTACGTGGTGATGCCTAGTGGGATTTGGTACCATTCATGAGATGAGATCCACTTGAATCCGCAACCTCACCCGCAGGCAGCAGCGCCGTATTCCCCATTTGTTGGTCGGAGGAGGTTTACAGGTGGGAATTTCGGGAATTTTACTTCGTACGCCACGGAAATAAAGGGATCCGCACATAGTTGCCAAAAGGGGTAATTCGTACTTGACGCTATACGTCCGCTGATGTTGGTGGAAAAGGGGCGATCTTGATCCTGAGGTGCGTCATCGGTAGTTTGTCAATTGTAGGTCGTGATGCTACTGTCGCGAACTGTTTGTCCTTTGCCTCGCTGGTGGGAGCCATGATATGGTAATATCTGGGCTAGGGAGAGTATCTATTTGAAAGCTTGCTTGGAGGCAAGTCCCTACAGCCTGGGTAGCATAATCAGACAAGCGATGAAGGCTGAAAGTTCTTTTATTAGATAAAGTCCGCGGATGAAGCGTTCTAGAGATGAGACGCCGAAAACGATCAGAGGTGGCGAAACGTGAAAAGCGACACACAGCTAAATATCTCTCTGGGAGAGATTTTATCCCAAGCACCCATCTGCCCCCGCCAGTCTGCATAATTTAGCGGCACGACTTGGCGGAAGTTTGTCTTGGAAGCCAATTCTATCTTGCAAGATAAACCACAGGTTCCGCGACAAGCTGGTGATCCAATCAACCCGGCCACTACTGGAATCTATTGGGAAGGATTGTGTCGCTTGTTAGTTGATGAAATCGAGTTTGAAGTCCACTTCTTTCCTTCCTTCCACACGATGTTACAACTAACAACACTCACAATGATAAACAGCGTCGGTGATGGGTGGAAAGCGCCAACAGATGATAGGCGGGAGCCGGGTTTCTAAACCAAGTCCGTCCCAGGCAGGGCGTGAGAAAGAACCAAGTAAAGGACACGGATCTATGGCGTTTGTTTAGTCTTTCTGCTCCCAGGCCGCTTCCTCTTTATACACATCAAACTTGTATGAAGAGCCTACGTGGTCATCACGGAGACGAGCCTGCCCCTTCCCATACACCCTCTCGCGGGTTGTCAAAGGAACCGCATCCCCTGAGAGCTGCTCCGGGTAAATTCCACGGCGCCGAAGCTCTGGAACAAGAAGGTCGACGACATCTTCAAAGGTCCCGGGCGTGGTCGCGTGCGGCAGGTTAAAGCCGTCAAGATCAGCCTCGCGTACCCACTTCTCCAGGATATCGGCCACGGTGGTCGGGCTACCGACGGCGAGGGCGCCAAATCCGCCAATGCTTCGCTCCTCGGCGACTCGGCGAGGCGTCCAGACGGTGTCGTCGTCGTCGCTCTTTTGCACTAGAGCCGAGCGAAGGCTGACGACGCTATCCTTCTTGATGTCATTGACGGTGCTGAGATCCTGATCCAGCGGCACCTTAGACAGATCGATGCCGCTGATGCTGCTAATCACCACGAGCGCCCCGATGACGCTGGCGTTCTTCTTCAGCGCCACATACTTTGCCTGCGCCTCCTCATCCGTCGGCGCAACGATGGGACACACGGTGCCAAAGGCCTTGATGCTGCGAGGATCTCGGCCCTTGGCAGCGGCGGCTGCTCGGACTTTGGCTGCGCCTTGACCCATGAGTGTCGGAGAGAAGCCGCTGACGAAGATGGCTTCGGCGTGTGTTGCGGCAAAGTCGATGCCCGCCGGAGAGGTTCCGGCCTGGAACAGGAATGGGGTCCGCTGGAGAGAGGGCTCGAGAATGTGAGGGGATTCCAGTTTGAAGTACTTTCCCTTGTGCTTGATGGTCCGGACCTTGTCAGGGTTGATAAAGGCGTCGTCTTTTGGGGACGGTGATACAGCATCATCAGCCCAGGATCCTTCCCATAGCCTAGGTAAGAGAAACATTGTATGTCAGTTTCAGTCTCGCTTTGGCGGGAATC